AAAAAAGTCTCCTGCTGTATCAAAATTCAGTTATTAAGCCAAAGCAATAACAAATGCAACTAACAAATTACCCTCAGGACATACGACAGCCTCAAACAATGACAACTTAATGTGGACGGTGGTAATGATGGAATTGTAAATGCCAGCATTGGTAAACGAGACTCTTCACCAGGCTTCACTCCTTCCTGAAACATGCTTGCGACCTTTTCCTCACCATGCCTTTGCTTTCCTATAATCATCACAAAAATGAATTGTTAGGAACTCTGCCAGCCTGTATCTATGTCACACAGAAGTTTTTAGGAGATTCACATCTCTGGAATTACCTACATCTACATGTACTTCTACAAGCATACAGGTGTACTTCACTGAAGCAAAAATTTACACTGACATGCACTGTATGCTAATCAATCAATTTAAGGCAATTCTATTTGAAACCTTAGCCCATCAAAGAGGTATTATGATGAACATGTAAGAATAACATTCCCCAAATAATGATTGCAAACTGAAAGAATAGAATTCTTTTAGTCTGCTAACTTAAGTTTGTGTAAATTCTGGGGAAAAAATTATTTAATATTTTTAAAACAGGATTAATTTTAAACCACAATTAACCACAGAGAACTATGAATACCAGAGACATCTACAGAACATTAAAAGTACATTGTTTGTTGCTGCCTCTAACATCACAAAGTTTAATAACATTCATATTCGTCAACTTACCACATGAGGCAATATAAATGATGGCTTGAATAAGTTGGAACTCCAGACCAATAATTTCATTATTTGAATTATTACTGATGACAGCTGAGACTCCAATAGACTCACCAGGACAGTACCCACCCCTGTCAGTATAGAGTGTAATACTGAGAGGACCAGACTTACAACACAGGCATCCCACATCACGATTTTCAGCCATCTGACAGGGTTGCTAACAAAGAATAAGGGAGGATAAAAATCAGGACCCAGTTCTTCAAAGGAAGGATAATGCTATCCAACAGGTGAACCACCAACCAGTGGATAAATGGTAAAAAAAACCCTGTGCTAACCATTGGATCAAGAGATAGCTTTATCCACCCTTTAAATCACCAGGGTCATTGTTTCTTTAAAACAACTCTTTCTGCCCTTCTGGAAAATTCATTTTTATTTTTGTAATTACCAGCATGAAAATTTTTGTCCTCTACAGGAAGAGTGCACTTGAATTCCAAATGAAAATGAAATAAATATTCTTACAGCATAATCCAAAATGCTTATTGCTGAAAATATATCAGTTGACTCCTACTAATCAGGCAGTATGATCCTATATAAAAGGAAAAATTTCAATTGCCACAAAAATATGCATTCCGACATTGAAAATAATTGTAGTCACACTTATATTTTTGAAAGCACATTGCAAATTAATATGCTGAACAACTGGTTCTTTTCCTGGATCTCTGCTTTCTAACAAAAAATTAAAACATAAAGCCATGCATATGTCATGATGGAAAAGGGGTTATTTACATCAGTCTGAGGTGTGATTTGCCTCCTGACATCTTGTGACCCATGGATTTTTTCATTCATTTCATGACATGTCAATATTTCCCTGAAACTTTGTACAGTAGGAGAGAGACTTGAACTGTTTCCTTTTATTTACGCAAACCATGAATTAAGAAAGGAATGCAAAAAACAGAATCAGCACTGCCCATTTGCTATACTCATATGTGAATAGTGCTGGAAAGGGAATTTCTGCAGACAGTAAACCCACTCAACAACAACAGCACCAACAAAAAGAGATTCAACAACATAAGGTTTTGTTTCATGGAGCATTACAACATTAGTGCACTCACCAGGAGAGGTAATGTGTTGATGTCAACAAACTCAATCATGGTGAATGCTGCCTTTGTTGTGAAGTCAAATCTCCATGGGCGATCAATAATTCCCTTGAGCCAGTATCGGACATAGCCATGATTTGCTTCAACTGATGTTGGCATATTTTGATTTGGAATGAGAAATTGAAAGGGGTAAGAGTATTCCCCTGGCTGCAGAACTGGATCGTCACCACTCTCATTTGGACCTGTAAATAAAAACAAAGAAAAAGGATTGAGGCCATAAAAAATACTTTAATGATGAATCTCTGCTAACTTGAACTAGGCTAACTCAAACTTCCTGCTAACTTAACAAGAAGAGATTTTTCCCTACATTTGACCCCATTTTTTAAAGTTATTTATTATCAGCTAACTTGAATTTGGTGAACTCAAACTCAACATTATTAATATTAAACTAATTTTAACTAGTTTGTCTTGTTTTTCAAAGTAAACCTGGTTGAACAAAATTGTAGATTGAGTGGTTTAATTTTTTGGGACATGTCTTGGCAAAATACTAGGAATGCAAATTGATACAGAAAGAACTTAATGGCCTGCCAAATATTCTATACTCTTGACCTCAAATCCTGTCAATCATGCCTGTAACATTTAGCAAACCTACATCTTAGTTGCCTACTGTCATGCAAGCCATAAGGAAATATGCTTGCAACAAGGAAATTCCTGTAAAAAATGATTTTCGTGTTTTAATTTCTACTACTTTTGAATATGATTTTTTTGATCACCTTGGACATGCAAATACACCATCGATCTGCATTTGATAATTTATTAATCATGAAACACATCATTGGTAATTACAGGGCGGATCGGAATAAATACGTTTATGTTCAAAAAAGAAAAAAAAGAAAAAAAAACTCATTGCAATCTGCTTTTAAAAATAACTAAAAGTTAGCAGAGATGAAATGCACAGAAATACAGCCAAACTCCCACAACGCAAATGACAATAAAATATAAAGTTTAACTTCAACTCATTCATACACCCCAGGAAAACTGCCAAAGACAGTTGCTCGTTTAAAAATGTACCAGAGTAATAGATAGATGATGATGGCAATGACGTACTTTTTCGAAAATACCCTAAATATCACGAAAAACAAGCCACTGAGCAACAGCAATCGGTTTCAAAACCATTGTTTACGTCTGAAAATAGCGACGAAAATATATTATATAAATTAAATGTACCTGATAGCAGCACACACAGCTGGAAATACCGAACTTACCTTTGCCAAACAACGTCGCCATAGTGTTGATGTACGTTTCACTGTTACTGTAATGTCTTGTCCTTCTATGCTCGCCAGATCCTGTCGTTTCAGACCAATGAATGTGTGCTTTGCCATGGAACTCGAGTCGAATGCCTCGCAGTTTTAACTCCTTGTTGACCTTCACACGTAGAGTACCATTCAGTGCCTCACCGGGGTAAAACGTTGTCTTGCCACCATAAAATTCGACGATGAAGTATTCAATTTTACCCATTGTTCTGATGATCGATCTTTTCAGCCTCAATGGATCTGATAATCGCAGCTTTACTGTAAAATCTTAGATTCAGCGCGGTGACCTCCCGATTGATGCGGACACA